GGGGGGGGAAGGGGGAAGAAAACCTGTTCCTAAGGTGACTTAGCAAATAAAACTCCCTCTTTCGCAAGTAGCTCTGTCGTCCTGATGCTTTCTTCCTTGCCAGTGTTTTCCAACTACTTCCAAATACATTCCTCTGTATTTAATCAAGTTAAAACTCTACTGATACTATGACTTTGATATGTGTTGCTATCCAATATGCACAGTTATTGCAGATCTTGACAGATTTCAAGCTGTGGGGGGAAATAATAGGAGTTTTATAAACTTCTTCCTAACTGATGTGCTTTGCAGACAGAATAAGTTAAGGTAACACAACCAGTTTGTGCTGCTTAGTGACGTGTACTTAAAACATGCATAATATTATATGTTATATAATAAAACATGGAGCTGTGACTGAGGACAAGGTAAACCAAAGGACACTGTACTTACACAGTGATTTGAAAAGGTCTCAGCAACAGGTAAAAGCAGGATCAAGGCTCCCTGCCTTTGTCTGATGAGGAGTGAATGTAATCCTGATGATCATTCTAAATTGCCCATCCATTTCCCTCCCCAGAAGGTCCTCTTCATCCTCATGGGAAATTTCTGAAAGCCTCCATTTTTACTTTGCCATAATGTAGCTCTCTTGGAGATCTTCTTTCATAGTCATAATCACTGTGGGATGGGAATATCAAGCAATTCTTTGTGTACAATATGAGGACATTATCTCCTGTCTCTTCAGGAGCTGAGCAAATTGCTTTGCTCAGCACTCCCATCCCTCTCAGTCGTCTTTGCAGCAAAACAGGTACATTAATGTTTGGTTACTGGGGAGAATCATGGCCCCAGGTAAGAAATGAATGCGGTTTTAAGGCAAACATTGGGTCAAACAGCATGTCTTGCTAACTGTAACAGTGCCAGGGTGCACTTTTCCAGTGATATTACACATTACTGTGTCATACACCAGGTGTAGAGCAGCTCTTGGAAGCTGAGTTCAAAGAAAAGGCATGAAAAAGACCCATTACCACCAGCACTCACAGGCAATCAGGTTAGTGGTAAACTTGTCATTTAATTTGTCTGCAGTAAAGCCTGAACCTCCTTTGAACCTGCATCTGGAAATGACAGAGGAAGGTCAAATGAAGATCTGCTGGGCTGCCCCTGTGTTGATGCCATACAAACTTCAGTACGAAGTGAAGATCTCTGCAAATTCAAGTGACAATGGTTGGCAGGTGAGTCAGATCTGCTCACGTTGTTTTACGGTGCAGCTTGGTGGGTCTCTGTGGGAGCCCAGGATTTCTTACCACCCCCCTTGTCCTTGGGCAGTGGATCTGATGGGTTGAGAACGTGGCTGGTCTGGTGGAGCTGGGCATGGCATACTGAGCTGGTGTGTCCTGCAGCCCCTGGTAAACATCAGTGTGGTAAAGCTGGCGAGCTGGGCTTGACATCAGCTACACCAAGAGAGTCACTACATAGTGCTGAAAGACCCATCTTCTGCTGAGTCTTACAAACTCCCATCTTTCTTTTTGGATGAAATGCTAGACTCTGTGAAGTCTAAAGGCAAAGCTCTCTCTT